ATATACCTATTATACTTGATATACTTGATATACTTACTATACCTTTTTTCTTATTATTTTCTATCACCTTTTTACATACTAACAATAGAATTCTTAATGTAATAATAATAAACTTATATTTAATAAATGTCTCATATTTAATGCTTGTTTGCAGTGGAAAAAAAAAAAAAGTAAAAAAAATTTAATTTTTAAAAATTATATTCTATTTTATTTAATAAACTTTTAAATTTAAAAATTAAAATTAATTAATAAATTTTTTAAAATATTTATTATAAATACAGTAGTCAATATAAGATCTGAAATTTAATTTGGTTCACAAAAAATTATATAATGATATCAATTTTAATTCAATATAAAATTGATATTATTTTATTTTTATTTTAAAATCTTACACATTATATTTATTTTTTTATATTTATTTCTATACTTCTTAACAAAAAAAAAAACAAAAATGCCTTGTAATTCTAGACTTTCAATACAAAAAACAGTTGTAAACAAGCTTTGAACTAATAATATACTGAAACTTGCTAAAATTATATAAATAACAGGTTTTCCAAAGACTATAGTATATAATATTATCAATCTGCTTAAAAAAAGATTCATCATCACACTACTTATTATTTCAGGAAAATCTCAAATTCTTATATCTCCATAAAAATATTATCTTGATTAAATTATTTAAACAAATAATGCTACTATTGCAGCTGAAATAATTGAAAAGTTTACTTAAAAAAATCTTAAGATAAAGATTTCTATTTGCATTATATATGTGATATAAATTATTTGCTGTTAACCCAATTCTCAAAATTCTCAAAAATAATTATGTTATGACTATAGTTCCGAAAATTGGAATCGAGTAGAATCGAACAGAATCACATGAGATTCGGAACACTATTAAAAATGATGGTGAGGTATAAAGTGTATATTAAAAATAAGTATATAAGTAACAGAAGAAGAGATGAAAATAAGAAAAATTCCAGACAAGTACTACACAACTCTGACATTCTCCTAGATTCTATTGTTGAACATTTGCCCTATTACCTGATCCACACACACTACACTTGAGGAATTACTACACGAGTAGCAACCCTCTAGATCCCCGGATCTATCGATTGATCTATAGTGCTACCCAACAGCTCAGACCAAATACACACACCTCTTTCAAGTAGAAGATGTGCTCCATTGTTACATGACGGGAGGCACACTCAAGCGACAAACTTGCCGGATTTTTACGCCAACAGTTTTGGTGATGACTGTGAGATAGAACACTACCAACGACACTTGTTACTCCCTATTTTTATACAACAGACATACCATACAGACATATAGTATACACATTTATTACACACAGTAGCATAGAAGCATAATTGTACACAATATTTGTTACTCCTCCCTCCCAATCTACGATTTTATTTCATTTTTATTGTTGTTAATTTTTTTAGGTAGATAATAATGGGAATATCCGGAGTAATAAGGGACGTCGTCTTAGGCGCTTCAGACGAGTTAGAAAAATATAAACCCAGAAGAACAGACCAAGATGTATTCAAGGCCTTGAAGAAAGCGGTAACGAGAAGAATATGGAAGAAAGCCCGATTGAGTCCAGGGGAGCGATTGTACAATGCCTATCCGGGATTAGAGGAATTGGTAATATCTCTTTGTGAGATTATTGATGGGATGTCGGTAGATACCCCGACTGGAAAAGCTTCTATACCAGGGCCATTGGAGGAAGCAACGTGAAGATGGAACAGTATCAAGCACTGGATCGGTGAGACCTGTTCGTTTATAAAAATGATGATAAAAAAAAAATGTTAAGTTTGAAATTGCAGAGAAATCAATAACTCGACTCCTGAGCATAGAACACCAGAACGATACAGTGGGAGAATAGAACACCTACTTGTCACTCATGACGACTATTCCGCAAGAAATTCAAGGACCAGGAGGATATCCCTTATGTCCCAAAGTGTCGTGATCACAACATAAGGAAAGAGAGAACTACCAGGAAGAAATTACGCCTGGAAGCTTGCCAACCACGCACGAAAAGGGAGGCCTTTGAGAAGGCAAAGGTAGCCCTGGTGAAGTACTGAGAAATATCAGTATTGGGATACCAAGTGACCTTGAGGAGATCTTGACATATGCGAACGATAGAAAAGAGTCTGGGATGGAAGAAAAAGAAAGCGACAAAAGCAAGTTAGTGTTTAAACCAGCTGCATCCGAAGAAACAATCAAGCTGAGTACAACGCTTACCTCTTACGAGATGTCAGCCCTGAGGAAAGACAATGCCAGAACTCTAAGCGATGCCGGGGAGCTCTAAAGCTCGAGAATAGCGAACGAGGCTTCGATGCAGAAGGGAAGAAGGGAAATGAAAATACATTAATACCCGAACTATGCATGTGTGACAAAACGACAGGGAATGGTGCACTCACCTCTAAGGTGCTGGTCCCGAGGAGCGATAATACTGGGATGCCGAGTGCCCACGAAATCTCGGCAAGTGCGAGGAGCAACGAAAGTTTCAAAGTGGAAGAAAAGAGAGGTGAGAACGAATTAGCACCTAAACCAGCTATGGATGAAACTATTGAACTGACCGATACACTTACCTGCTGCGAGACGCTAGCCATGAGGAATAACAATACCAGAATATCAAGCGCCTGTGGACGAATTTCAACAACCAGAAGCGATGAAAGAAGTCTCGAAGCCGAAGAAACCCCGGACAAGACCCTAAAAAAGGAAACACGAGAGAAATTAAAAAAAGGGTATGCTTACGAGACTAAATGGGAAGGAAACAAAACTTACCTATAAAAGAACTCTGGTGGCAAACAGTGAAAACGTCAGAGTGCTAAGCGATAGGGTGAGAGTGAAGAAACCCGAAAGCAGCGAGAGAGACGTCAATATGGTAGAAGCCGGAAAGGAACCAGGAAAGCATGGTAAGTTAGTGACTCTAAAACAAGTAAAAGAATGCTATTATAGGAGGAAGAGGGACGACCAACAAGAAGACGAACCACAAAGTATCTGGTATGAAACCACGTTAGCCTCAAAGGAACATGATGATGAGATGCGGAAATCGCGAGGAGACCTGGTTGTAACTGAGATTCGTCTCGAGAGGGGCCAACGCGGTAAGAGGACAGAATCAATGGAGAGAGGCATGATGTCAGAAACGTTTGGAAGTAGCGAATCGAATCAAGTTGATGGAGGACCTACCATAGGAATACCGGACAAGGGCGAGAATAGGTTGAACGGTCATGATAAAATCATACCTGTTGATACAATTGAACCTATTAAAAAGAAAGAAGGATTGAGAGTCGATAATGGAGTGCAAAAAAATCAATATAATACAATCCAACCTACCTCGAGGGAGCCAGACGGGTATCATAACAATGACGATGATACTATACTCACAAAATGAGACGTTCATCCATCAAAAAGGAACGGAGTAATGTTGGTACCGACCAGTGATATCATGATTACAAGTTATGATGATCCGGAAGGACGTAGCAAAAAGGAAAACGGAAAATTAGTAATTAATGGCACAAGGTATTGGAACACAGACGGACTTACCATGAAGAGACCTAAAGCAAATAGGGTGGGGTTGAGGTATCGTGATGAAGGATAAATCACGATTTATGAGTGGGATGCCACCCCCTGAGGATAAAACAGAGTATGAAATGGAAGGAGAGATAATATTTGTAAGTATGTGGGAACCATGTGACCCTGAGGACAGCAGAAATGATAATGTTACGGAAAAGGAATCTACAAATGATGCTGAATTAGTGAATCAAGATCATTGATGGGAATGATACTATGGGAAAAAGGATACAACTGTCGGTGTGCCTATTAACCACCAAGATGATGGAGAAGAAGTAGTGTTGGTACCAACCAGTGTCATCACGATTGTAAGTTGTGATGATTCAGGAGAACATGATAAAAAAACAAATCGGGGATTAGTGAGTAGTGGCATGAGGCATGGGGATACGGATGAACTTACCGGGGGGAGATCTGACACGGATAGAGTGGGATTGGGTATCGTGATGATGAAGAAATGGTGACTGATGATCCCCTTGATGGGAATAAGGTAGAGTGGGAAATGAAGGAGGGGCCGGTAGTTGTGAGCACGTGGAAACCAGGGGTACCAGGAAACAAAGCATGGCGACGATAGGCGAACATGCACCTATACGAGGTAATTGAGAAACTCAAGGTGGCATGCTATAACTTCGTTGCAAAAATAGTACACTGCGCTATGATGATAACCATTATGACGGTTCTGATGAGTAACAGAACCGTCCTAAAATCTGAAAGCACAAGGATAGTGCGACATACTGTTAGAGATGCCCCTGACAAACAAGATAAAGATAAGATCAACCAAGACATGAAAGGGTGGTGTGAGCAAAAAAGTAAAAATTGTGATACGTGCCATGGGCAATGATCACTCGTAGTACTTGCGATCAAAGAGGGGAAAGGAAAATGGTAAAAAAAAAAAAAAAAATGAATGAAAAAAATGGAATGGATGGATGGAATAGTGTTAGTATAGTTTAGGATTTATGCAACGATGATATTAGATTAGCTTATCATGTTTAGTTTTGACTTTTAATTTCTACTTCGATTATCAATTATTCCCCTTTATCTTTATCTGATTGATCGGAACTTTTATTTTTCTATTTTTTACTTTATTTTGAAAGAAGCAAAAAAAAAAAAATTGGAAAAATCAGAGAAAATTTTTGAGCAAAAAAGAATATTTTATTTTCATTTTTTTTATTATTATTAGTATAGTGGTTCTTATTTTTGAAATTATACAAATAGTTGAAAATACCTATCACCTTTTTGATTTTTTTTAT